TTAAAGGAGAGCCCTTTACATATGATATTTGCTGGAAATGTTTATTTTCTGAGTCTTTTAATAGAGCAAAACCTTCAACTTTACTGCTGTTTTTATTTTAAGAATAAAATAAGCCTGGCTTTAGCGTGTCTAATACAGGATGGTGTTGGTTATTACTTGTACAGTTGGGATACAGCAATTACGTGGAGAGACTGAGGCTTGGAATGTTGAATCTGAAAGAAGATGGTAATGTGATTTCCATAGGGGAAAAAATTCATGGAGCAGATGGATGCAGACTTAAGAATTCTTTGTAGTTCCTCTCATTTCCTTTCCAGGAAAATTTCTCTCTTGGGAGACTGTGCCCAACTCTGCTTCTTAAACAGTTTCCTTTCAAAGGTGCATACTCTTAGACAAGCACTGTGTCCTAAGCTAGGCAAGAACACATCTTGGTCCTTTGTTAATATTGCAAGGCTTAATCCAGTCTGTTCTCATAGTGGAGACTCTCAGGAACAAATTTTGTTTCAAATGGTTTTAATAAAACAGATTTCTTATAAATAACCTCTTTAACTTTCAAAAAAACTTCTTTAACTCTACCGCAGTAGAACAGTTAAGACTTGCTACAAAGTGCTGGCCCCAGGCCATCCTGACAAGATCACAAGTTACACACAGACCTCTCATGCCTTGTCAGATTGTACAGGGAGGGCTCTGCTGGCAGCCCAGGGCAGGCAGGCTGTGTCTCTGCTCTCTGGAGCTGGTGCTGTGCTGGTGCCTAACCAGGGGCTACTCTGCCTCTCATCCTTAGTGGCAGCTGAAGGAGTTGGGCAACTCCCAGTTATAACAGTCAAACATCACCCTGGTAGCTTGTCTTATCTGTTTGGAAGGGAATGGAAGCATCCAGTGACTTGGGACCATATTCCAGTGTTTCATACATGAGAGTTAATATGACTAAGGGAGAAGTTGGTTTCAAGGCAGGAGCCCTCTCCAAGTCAGTCACCAAGAGTTGCACTTAGGGACAAACCAGGAGTGAGGACAGCCCCTGCCTACTGTGCTTTCTGAGGGAAGAGGCTAGAGCCATAACACTCCTTGTTTGGATGTAACAATGCAAACGAGCAGAGATAATGGTTCCCTTTGTGAAGAGGGCCTGCCAGCAAACTACCTGCACACATCACGCTCCTTACAGCCAGCTCTAACCAGGTGTGAGTGTCAGGCTCGTGTTGGGGAGCAGAAAGAACCAGCTCTCCTACACCCACCAGTGTGCTTCTGCACCTGTCCAGGAGCTAAAGGAAAACAGAACACGGAGGGGAATGGCAGAACACAACCACAGGAAGGAACAAGTAGCAGGCATGAGGCACCTTTTCTACTCCAGTTTTACATTAAATTGGTGACCAGTAAAAGTCCCCTTAGCAACACCAGCTGAGAGCCTGTGGTCAGACCCTAGGCAGAAGACTCAGATCCCTGCACATCAGCTCCTCTGTTCAGCTGCTCACTCTGCTGCTGGAACTCCAGGCGGGTCTGGCGATTGGACTCCAGCAGTTCCTTCAAGCAAGCGTGAAGATAGTCATTCTTCTCCTCCAGGTGATCCAGGCAGGAGTTGATCTGGTCCAGCATGGAGTTTATTGCTGCATATTCTAAAAAAGAAGGGAAATGAGAGACTGAATAATGTATTGTCACTGCAGGCAGCAAGAGCCCTGACAAAACACACCCACAGCATTTTGGCTATGCCTTAACTGCTCTTGGGTGGGTGAAGTAAAATGCAACTGAATCCTGCATGGGTTGTATTCCCTGATCAAATGAGACCAAGGGGAAGCTGCAGCACTGGTCACAAGATCCAAGACAAGGTGCCTGGGCAGTCCAAACCCACTGTGGGCATACCTGATAGCCTTGGATCTCACACACACATAGCTGACCACAGGCTGAGTGCTGGTGCATCCTCACTCCAACAGTACCAGATAAACCCCAAGGACAACTCAGCCCTTTTAGCTGCCTTAGGAATACCTTTCCTGATGGTGCAGGCATTTTGGCAGTAACCCACAGTGTTTACTTTCTTTGACTTGCCTGTATAAAGCTTCTGGGCTGGGATGTGCTTTGCAAGGACCTGGATGGGGTCAGACTGCCAAACTATCACAGTAAGTGTGGAGCACCAAGTTCAGTCTCAGGATTTTCATGCACCAGTAAGGCTTTGGGTCCTTCAGATTAAACCCAGACTCCCTGAGGATGGTCCTGACAGTCAGTTCCCTGGGTACAGTGTATTCACAGCACTGTTTGGAGTGCAGCAGTTTGCCTCAGTGCAATGGCATTTCACACTGTTCATCAGCTGAGGAGTATTGTGCTACTGCATCAAACACTTGCTTTTGGATTGCTCCAAGCAATGTTCACACAATCCTAAAGAATAACTAAAAACCAAACTGAAAAAACAGACAAAATAAACCTCTGCTGGGAACCCTGTGGGGTGACACGGGAGCCCAGGGAGGGCCAGTCCCATGTGCCTCTCTGCAGGGCTCAGTCAGTGCAGGGAGCAGGGGCTGAGTGTGACCTGTGGGCTGATGTTTGTGGGCTGCAGGGCAGGGAAAGATGCCTGTGTGGGTGGGACAAGCCCACACTCCCTGACTGGGGTTGGCTCCTCTCCACCCAACTCCTCCGAGCAGCTGTGGAGCATCAGAGCTGAGTGTGCTGCACACAGTGCCTGGCTGGAGTGCTGGGCTGAGCTACTGGGGAGAGCAAGCAGGTGGAGGAGGAGGAGGAGGATGTGTTCTGGGCCCCCTTGTCCTAAAGATGAGGGTCAATCCATGCTGAAATTCCCCAGCCTCACGAGCTCACTTTGCCCCTCTTAGCTGCTCCCTTGACATTCCCACACAGGGTGCCCTAGCACACCAGGCCCAGGCACTGTCACTCCCAGCACCTTTAAAAGGACTGTGGATATTTAAACACTGCAGGAATTTGCATTATTAATAGCTAAAGAGAAGCTTCATTATAAAAAAAACAATTGTCCTCCTTTTCTAACATTACTTGGGGGCATTCACAGAGCATTGCAGCCTTTAATTCATTGGAGAATTGTGTGTTTTGCACTTCAGCTTGTTTATAAAAGTTAAGCCTTACAGGTATATGCAGAGACACTATGAGCAAAAGTATTGCTGCTGTCCGTGCATGTACCCACCAATCCCTCCCTGCTTTCTAAGAAGGTGGTAATTATCAGTATTTTTCAAACCCTCTTTCAAGGTGTATGAAAATGTCCATGAGTCAGAGCTCTTCACTTCAGCTGGATGCACTGTGTTCCAGTGAAATGGTGAGCAGACATGGTAACTACTTCTGACAAGTGATATTCATCAGCTTGGCAAGAAGTCTGTAATTACAGCAGGAGCCTAATTTTCTCAGTACCTAAAGCTCAAGTGAAGGCTGTATAATTTGTGCAGCTTTGGGGAGTGAAAAAGTGTCAACCCTTTAAAAAAAAAAAAAGCCAGTAAAAACCTTTTATTTGATTGTTTTGTGTTAGCTGCAAGCTTGGTGGATTTTTGTGGAAACAGAACCACATCTCCTAATGAAAACACTGACCAGGAGTATGGAAATTGTAACTCCTCTACATTCTTACAGGAACAACTGACAAACCCAAGGTTTCCTATTTCAGATCAAGGAAGTGATCCACAGTTTCAGCTCCACTAGCTCAGGAAATAGCTGCAGCCCTTTATGACCAGCTGCTGTGCACAAAGCTCAGCTAATTACAAGCAGAACAACCTCATTAGAGACTTGATGTAGATCCGATTTTGTGACTTTCTCTGTCACCTCCAATGTGTTTCTTAGCTCCTCGCAAAGTGTGAAACACAAATCACTGTGATGACGCAAAGCAGTGAACACTCTTGGAGTATTTCAGGGCAGAAATGATGCTTCTGTCACTGTGGGTGGATCACAGCTACGAAATTCACCTGTGTGGGTCATATCTAGAGACCGAATGGGAAACAGCAGAACCCAACTCCTCATTGTTTTCAAGAGAAGAATAGCAAAGTGTTTACTCTTTGAAAGAGTTCGGTTTTAAGAGTGACCCGTGTGTATGTGTTACAGCTCTGCTATCGTCTCACTTTCTCCATTGGCTAGTTCTAACCAGACTGGGCAGGACGAGGAATTTCATACCCTGGCACTGCAGAAATGCCCCAAAGTGGAATTTGCCAAGCTCTCCGCATTAAATTAACTTCTTCCACGCATGACTTCTCCTCCCAGATCTGCCCGCGTGACCTGCCCTGCAGTTTCACATCCTCAACATCCTCTTTCTCCTTGGCCATGCTCTCCCCATACACCAACAGCGACACAGAAACACCTGTTCACAAGACAAAAACCACCCCCAGGGCAGCATGCGGGGCTCGGTGCCCCACGGCTGGGCAGGAACCGCACGCTGCAGTCCCTCGCCCCTACTGCCGTGCAGCGGGCACACCCCTGGCATCGGGCACCGCTCCCTGGGCACACCTGGACGCACCTGG